GAACAAGCCTTATCATTTCAAACCGAGCTACCGGAGAAAAGGTTTCTTCAAAATCAACACCATATTGTCGTGCATATCCTTTCACCACAAGATGAGCTTTGTGCTTTTGTATGCTTCCGTCAGCGACAAATTTTGTCTTGAACACCCACTTCAAACCAATTGCATTTTTGCCTTTCGGTAAGTCAACCATCTCTCATATTTTATTCTTTTCGATAGCTTTCATCTCTTCCACCATTGCTTTCTGCCACTCTTTTTTTTTAGCTGCTTCTCCATCATTTATAGAGGTCCGAAATAGTAAGAGCAAACCGACAAGATGCATATATATCGCCCAAAGATCTATAATTCCTTTATGGTGTCTCATCTAAAAACTCTTCAAGAGTTATGGATGAAGAGTTTCTACTTGGTGTTGCTGACGCCATAGAGGAACCGAGTGGGTGAACTTGTAGGAGTTGGCTCTTGACTTTCATCTAAAGAGATTCCAACGGGTATAGGAATCTCTTGTTGCACTCGTTTTTCACTCCAATCCCAGCTTGTATTTTCATCAAATATTACATCCCTTTTAATTGAAGTCTTACCACTAAGAGGGTTATACAATCTATATGCTTTGGATTGAGTACAATAACCAATAAAAATACATTTTTTTTATTTTTCATCAAGTTTTTGACGAATTTGAGAATTTACCAAAGCATAAGCAATACATCCAAAAACTCGTAAATGACTTACGGATGGTCTCCTTCTATGCCAAGCTTCATATGGAGTTTGATTCATGACGGACTTTGTTGGTGAGAGATTCAATAAATAGACGGATGTTGCTACGACTTCGCCTAAAATTGGTTTGAAAGCCCTTTTGCTTGTAACATGCTTCTTGCCATCTCCATAACGGTTTCATTTTTTCGCTCGGTGACACCATTTTGCTCCAAAGTGTAAGGAGTTGTTAACTTCCTATGGATGGCATTTTCTTCACAAAACAAATTAAATTCTTTGGACACAAACTCTCCACCTCTATATGTACGAAGAACTTTGATATGACAACCACTTTGCTTTTTAACCATAGCTTTAAATTTTTGAAACTTCTCAAAAATTTCGACTTGTTTTCTAAAAAATAAACCCAACTCGTGCGACTATAATCATCAATAAATAGCAAGAAATAACGACTCCTACCCAAGTACTCGATCCGCATAGGCCTACATAAATCAGCATGAATTAATTTTAAAATTTTTGAAGCTCTCCAAGCTTTACCAATAGAGAATGACGTCCTATTTTGTTTTCCATAAATACACCATTTACATAAATAAATAGAGCTAATTTTTGGTAACCCATGAACCATACCTTTCTCACTTAGCAAATTCAGGCCTTTAATGTTGAGATGCATGTACCTCAAATGTATAGCTTCGAGTCATCCTTTTCACTTACAAGAAGAGCAAAATTCTCCATGTTAGAAACATCTTGTTTGAAGTCATGCTAATATGAACCTTTTGGCTCGATTTCTTATTTTTAATGACACATGTATTGTCATCAAATAAAATAGAATATCCACTAGCCATCGATTATCCAATGCTCAATAAATTGTATCCTAAATCGAGAACAAATTGAACGTTGTCTAATGCTTTTACTTTGCCATGGCTAGTGTTAACTCTTACTATGCCTTTTCCTTCAACTTGCATCTCTTTTTTGTTGCCAATCCGCACCTTTATCCTTTGTGTCTCATCAAGCTACTGGAACAAAGATTTGGTGCTCGTCATATGGTTCGAACAACCACTATCTACAAAAGTGATTTATGGTTAGTATCAATACAAGCCATAAAAAGCTTGTTTTCTTGTTCATTTTCTCGCTCCAAAATTCATCCTCCGATCTTTGTACCAATAATCGGCTTTTATATACCCACATCTATTACAATGATAACACCGAATGCCACTCTTCATATTTCTTTGCTCATTGGACTACTTGTGCCCTTCATTTCTTCCTCTCGCCTCTGCCATTACCGCGATCACGACCGTGAAATCCTCATCTTCCTCGACCTCTCGCTTGCTGAACGGTCATTTCCTCCATGATTAGTGGCTATCTCCTTCACTTGAAATGCCTCACTTCATTCTTTTCAAGCAATCTATTAATTCTTGACTCATGAGCTTGAAGAGATCCCATCGACTCATCAACGAAAAAAACTAACAAATCCTTAACTTCTTCTATAGCAGTCTACAAAATGATCAAATTTTAGAGTCAAGCTTCTTAATACTTTTGCAACGATCGTCTCATCCAAAATTTGCTCACCGTAGCGAGCACATTTGACTAACTATTATCATCGTTCTTGACAAAAAATCAGCAATTGATTCACCATTCTTCATAATCAAAGTTTCAAAGTCATGTCTTAGTGATTGCAATCTAACCATTATGACCTTTGAACCACCTTGGAACTCCTTTTGCAAAATTGACCATGCTTGATTTGATGGGTTCTTCGTTGTAATTCGTGAGAAAATAGTCTCATGGATCGCTTGTTGGAGAATGAACAATGCTTTAGCATCTCTCTTCTTGGTTTCTTTCGGTCTTTCCTCCTCTTCTTCATCCAATTCTAATATATCAACAAACCCATACTCCACTAAGTCCCATAGCTCTTGCGATCTTAGCAATGTCTTCACCTTGATGCTCTACCACTCATACTTCTCACCACTCGAAAATCGGTATGAATGGTTGAGAGGAAGAAAACCCAACTGCTCGCCATTGATCTCTCGTATTTTATCACTCTTCAAACTCAAAAAGAACACTCACTCTTGTGTTTCTCTCAAATACCCAATAGACCCGAGTGTTTCACCCAAATACCCAATAGATCCCTAATTGTTTCACTCTTTTTCCCAAAAAACCAAAGCCAACTCTAATACCAATTTTGTTAGAGAAAGAGATGATACAAACAGAATAGAAATAAAGTTTGCAGAGACTTTTTACTTTGGTCGATACTTAAAAAATTAAAAGACAATATGAAATTCCCATATAAATATAAGCCTACATCAAAACAAACGGACCAAGGCTTTTGGACCATTCTCATCACGTACTAAGGTCCACTACAACCACTAGCCCACTTCTTAATTAACTAAAAACAAACTTATAATTTTTGGAAACCGCCAATAACCCATGACCCCAAAAACTCGATCAACCTTTGAATTACATTTCAACATAGGTTATCAATTCATAATATACATAAATTATGAATATGTATTAAGCATTTTTAAAGTACCCGTTGTGATATAGTTCTACGATCGATGCATGGTTTTCAAAAACAATTGTTACATAACGTAATGGCCATTATATAATAGTAACGAGGCACCTCATTACTATTATTTGGTTTTACGAGTGCCTCGACGTTATTGTTATATAACACCGTTATTTATCGTTATATATAAAAAAGCTAGAATTTTAGCTATTCCGGATGCTAAAATTCAGGTAGTGTGAGAGGTAACGAGAGGCAAAAAGCAGAGAGGCAAGGTTGAGAGGCAAAGAGGATGAGAGGCGGGGAAGGAAAGAGGTAGAGACGAGAAGAGAGGCGAGAGACGAGAAGAGAGGCAGAGAGATAGAGAGAGAAACTTTGTTGATAACCGATAAAAAAGCTTTGGGTGAACCGATAACGGAGGCGAGAAAGAGAGAGAAACTTTGAAAAAAAGTCATTTTATTTGAAAAGGCAACGTGACCCACGTGAACTTTAATATCAAAAACCCGTTTTTGCGAGTTTTGATGGAATAAATTATACATTAGTCCTCTATTTTGAAACAATAATTTAGTTAGTCCATCTATTTCAAAAATCATTAATTTATTTTTTTTCATTTTATATTTTTAATTTATTTTTATTTTTGTTTTAAAAAATAGAAAAATGAAAAAATAAATTTATATCATGAAAAAGATTGTTGAAAAAATATTTTGTAGAATAAAATATTAAAATTTAAACATGATTAATACTAATTAAAAGATTAAATAATTAATTTTTAAAATATTAAAAACTAATTTATCAATTTATCAAAACTAAAAGGATTAATGTATGATTTAATCGGTGCTTTAATTGAATAAATTATAAATTAATCCTTTTATTTTGAGAAAATAAATTAAATGGTCTTTATTGTTTTAAAAAAATTATTATTATTATTTTCATTTATATTATTTTTTTAATTTTCTTTTCAAAATTAGTTATTGTTGTAATTTTGATAGACAAGAATCACAACTATTATTATGACTATTTATTACGATTATTTTAAAGATGAATATTTTGTAATGTGTTTGTTGAAATTGTAATGTGTATATATATATATTGTGATAGTTATCTATTAGAAGTGTTATTAATTATTTTTTGTAATAAATTCAACTATTATTATATGATATTAAACTATTGGAGATATTATTACTTATTAATATACTTAATTAGTAAAACTATTAAAAATATATGAATTAGAATATACTTATTAACGAGTTACTAATATATTCACGACATCGATTACCACAATTGTTATTTTACTACCGAGATAAGCCACGATCTACGATCACAATCGTGATCCTTTTTTCAACCACGACCGTTATTTAAAACCATGGTATGATGAAACGACGATCCGGTCCATGTATGTGTCACTCTTCTCCCCGAACCCCATGTCACTACGCCAGCAAATCTTTCTCAAATTGGCTTAGACGAGGTAGTGGCATTATGTGGATGCATGACTATTGATTGCCACAAGCAGATGACGACATTATTCATCGATGGGTTTTCAACTATGACGTTCCTCCCGTCCGTTCTAAATTATTTTCAAGTTCCTTATTATTTCTAATACTATGTGATTTTGCATTAACTATTTCTTCTAAGAAAATGAATGGCTTTGTATTATTGTTTTCTTTGTTACTAAAACCATCTTCATGACAACCATAAGGCTTTCCACCATTCTTAGCAGTACCACCTATTTCTCAATCCTCATTTAAAGAGCCTTTGCCACTAGACAATGCACCATCATTAACCATATTAAAAACACGTATACTTCATTGAGAGTAGGTGGAGCATCATCTTCACTAACCTTGGCAAGTGATAAAGGCACATATACCCCTAAAAAAGTATTTGTTGGAGCACTAGTTGTGACTTCTTCATGTTCGTGCCTCTCGGCTTTAACTAAGGATGGCAATGGGGCTAGGCGAGACGGGGATAGCCATCTCCATCCTCGCCACATGCCCCGTTTGGGGTGAAATTTTGCTCCTCATCCCCGCCCCATGCCCCGTTCGGGGTAAAATTTCACGCCCCATCCTCACCCCAAACCGGGCAGGCGGGTTAGATTGCCATCCCTAGCTTTAATCGGATGTGTCGAATGACGTTTATCGGACCTATTTCTTTCATCAAATACATAATAGTGGTACCTAAAATAGATTAAACTCGATGATGTAGCTGCTAATGCAAGGAAATTAAATTCACCTACATCAATAATGTCCGTTAATCTTGCATCACTAGCCACTAGAAGAATTACGAAAATCTTCATTCCGTTTGACACGAATTACATACAAAATTTTTATTGACTACAAAGAGAATAAAATTCCTAATAATGGTAGCTAAAATTTAAACAATCTCTACTATTAAGCTACTCTCCATAAATTTACATGAATAAAATCTAATGATAAATACAACGATCATAATAATAAGATGCCTAAAATTGACTTTTTTACTTCCCCTCGAGTTGGAGCATGAAGACTTGAAATGCCCAACTTGGCTAATAGAAATCAAAATCGATCCCTCCTAAGGGCTTTAGTAAATATGTCAGCTAATTGAGACTAACGTAAAATCGATCGAGTTGACAAAAATTTTGATCGAATGTCGCCGGAGAACAAAATGACGAGTTAATCCCAATGTGCTTAGTTTGCTCATGAAAAATTGGATTGACATCGATATGAAGAGTCTGTTTGATCATCACAAAATAAGAAAACATGATCACGATAAGGAATGCCCAAATTAGAGAGGAACGGGTAAAGCCATACAATTTCACTTATAGTGGTGGCCCGGACAAAGCCCAATATTCATGTTCTACAAAAGAGCGAGAGACAACGGACTATTTCTTTGATAACCAAAATATGGGTGAATAGCCAAGAAATATGATGTATCTCATTGTCATAACCAAAATCCCCTCCTCCATTTTTGTTTAATAATCTTTCCTCTTTTATTTTATTCTTCTTTTTATTTTATTTTGGTTACTTTTTTTTATGTTATTTTTATTGTTTGTATTATTGGAATTTACTAAAAAAAAAAAGAATATAAAATGTAAAAAAATATATAAAATACCTAAAAAAAATTAATTTGTATTAAGAGCATAATTGAATCAAAACAAAATTACAATTAAAGCAATTAGAAACTGCATGACTAAAATTATGAGGTATGGGGACCCAATAAAAAAATATTATAAGTTCGAGCACTATAATGACTCGTATAAAGGTTACAATTGAGAAAAACATATCGACTAAGCTGGAATTGTCTCATTCTAGAATCGGTTGCTTAATATTTGGTGAATACATGCCTCTCTATATTCTCAAATACTTTTCAACATCAAAAAATTGATTTGACCTATCTACCATGACTTCTTTTCCTTTCTTAACTTCTTCATTAACTTAAGAAAAGTTAGTAGGAATTTGTGCTTGAGTCAAAGAAGATTGAGTAAATACCACGTACAAATATGAAACTTGTGGGAGTTGAAAAGTTGATTGAGCAACAATAAAAGTTTCTTCTAGATAAGTGAGGGGTATATAAGTAAAGAGGAACTCGCAAGCAAAGTTAATGTTGTGGGAGGAAGGAAAAGAGCTAGCATTTTAAAAATGGATTGTTCTAGACAATCCTTTACGATTGAGGCTTCTTTTCTCGATAAATTAGATTAAAGGATTTTCTTAAGCAAACTAGATAAGTGTGATACTTCCTTCCTTAGATCATTTATTTCTTGTTAAAGGTTCTACTTGCTTAGAATTCTATCCTAGTTGTCCATTTCTAATTGAGTTTTGATGTGGGAGGTTCTTTGAGAGAGTTGAGCTTTCATTGAGTGCAATCTATGTTTCTTTTTTCTTGTTATTTTCAAATGGTATATACCATAAAAAGTATTGACATAACAAATTGGATTGACTATACATGCTTAATGTTGGAGCTCCGAATCATGACACAATTTGAGATAAGGATTGACCGAGTCAAATTTTAAGTTCTCAATAAAGGTATGAACGTATAGAGACCTCGGGAAAGTTGGAAAAACATTCATACCCTTGACTTTGTCAAACTAGTTATAGACAATCCTCCTCCTCTTATAGGGTCTCGCTTTGACCTAGTCCTAAATTCTTCATTCGTAAAAGTATTCCCTATCATGATTCACACATCATGTGAGGATTAGTAAAAAAAAAAACAAAAACAAATGAAAGGAGTAACACATACAACTTGACATATATAGTTCATGTCTTACATGGGTTCAAGACCAATACATAAGATCTACCTTTCTATAGGGTTTGGCTCAATTATGTTTAATCCTAGCAATTTTTTTTTTCAAATTTTCAGATTGTTTGGATTACCGATGGAGTAACCTTGCTTCAAACCTTATGGAATGAGGGTATAAAAAATATTTCACAATCTCTTCTATATAAGCGAGTTCTAATCTTAATGAAAGTCTAAACGAGCATCAATGGACTTTCATCACACTTACCTCTAAATCTTTGTATCTAATCTTAAAAGGACAAAGTTCAAGTTTAGAGCTTTTAGTTGGATTTTTAGTGAATGTGTGGAGCTTTATATACATACATGCATACCTAATTCAATTTATAGGTAATAAATAAAATGACTAAAAATTAAATGACTTGAAAGTAAATAAATCATTCAAAAATAAATCATTTGAAAATAAAATGGTATTAATAATTAAAGAATATGATTATAGAACAAAACAAGTCTATGGCTTAATTGTAACTCCTAGTGAAGTCGCCATGCTATCACTACCCGACATATGAAACCTTTTGATCAAAAAGAGTTAAAAGATGAAGAGTCACCACCTAGTACTTTAATGAAATTAGAAAACCTAAATTATTTATCTTTCGAAATTATGGGTAAGGAGTTGATTATGTTTATTAAAAAGATAACAATCATTCAAAAACATCTTTTTTTAAGAAATGTTACCTAAATTGTTCTATTCTTAAATCATTTCCTATAGTATTATTTTGCTTATTTTTTAATCTATTATTTACTTCAAGTAGTTTTGTCAATTTGGTTTCGGGAGTCATTTTATGGTATACTAAATTGGTTATTATTATTATTATTTTGAACGGGGCGGTACATTGAAATTTATTAAAAGTAATATGGAAACAAACAAGAGGAGACAAATTAGCCTAGCCCAATAGGAGAGAAGACAAGAAACCCTAAACCCCCGAAATAAAATTGCAGTAAAGTTCTCTAAAATGTACAAAGCAAAGTTTCCAGGAGAAGAGGAAAACCCAACTATTAATACGTACAAGCAAAATTATACTATATTGGTTATGATTTATTACAAAATCATATTATTTATCATTAGACCCTATGCTAAAAAGTCGAGTTAATTTAGCATCGAATCCTATTATAGTCCATCACGATTGTCATGTCAAAAATTAATTGATAATTTTAAACATATTAAAGACCAAGTTTTATAATGGAATCTTGTTGACTTGACATCACACCTCAAAATTAGGAATCGTATCAATTTAACATCCGATCCGATTAAAGTTTTGGCATGATTGTCATATCAAAAACAAAATGATAGAGTTTAAATCATTCAAGTTTATTTTGTTTTAATGTTGAATTTAATTTAATTTAATTTAATAATCATTTATATTTAGAGTAATACTAGATAATTGTTTGCATTTCGTCGCGGATCGGCATAATAGGTGAAATCATTTGAAAAAACAAAATCATTATGATTCAATGATCTTTAGTGTGCTATAAATCTACTAAAATACATTGAAACCAAAGACAAAAAAAAATATTTACCTAACTTTATAATCAAATTTTTGTATTTAATTAATTCTTTCTTATGTTTTTTATAAGATTTCCTTCTTAAAAAAAAACGATTTATTTTTTTTTCATACATGAATTCTTAAATAAAAATTTACAATAATTTAAAATGCAAGTTCAATTTGTCAAAAATCCTAAAACAAATATGAATAAAATTAATTATTTGCTTTATAAGATTGTATCGAGAAAAAAAAAGCAACAATTAATTTTTAAAAAAATTGAATAAATATTTAAAATAATTTTGATAATATTGATGAGAAGATTAATTTTTAAATGTATATTAATATTATTTATCATTTTGAATATATATATATATATATATATATATATATATATATATATATATATATATATATATATATATATATATATTCAAAATGATAAATAATATTAGCATAAAAAATCTATTTAAAAATATGGTAAAGTTAGGTGTTGTTTTTAAAATATAATTTTCAATCTTTTATTTGAGGGAATTGATTTCAAAATATTCATTTTTTTTAAAAAGTAAGTATTAAGTGTATTTTCTGTATATATGTAGAGCCTATAATTAAAAAAACTTATAAAATTAATTTTGATATTTAATTATTTATCAATAATATAATAGCAATTTTATTAAAATTTTATTGTTTGAATATTTGGTCAAGTAAATTGCACATAGTACAAATAAAATAAAGTACACAAAATCAATATAACTGCATATGGATTTAAACTGCTATTGAATGTAGAAAAAAAAATTTCTTCAAAAACAAATTCAACCTTCAAATAAGCAATTTTTCCGAAGGAAAGCGTAAAAATGTTTATACTCTACAACTTTAGGCAAAAAAATGAAATCATCATATTATATTCATAAAATAATTTTTTAATTAAGCATGTTTTTAAATAATTCATTTCTCAAAATGAGAGGGCTTAATTTATAATTTACTTATTTAAAACAATTAGAGCATAATTTACTAATACACTAAAAAATAGCAAAATTTATAGGCGTTGCCTACTCTTGCTATTCTCGATGTTTTTGATAATGTACTAATTATTTATAATTAATTTTAAACTTAATTATCATTAGTACATAATTAGAAAACATGCTTATTTAAAACATACCAAAATTTTATTTTTTATCATATCAAAAACTTGACCAATTTATTATTAAACCAAATCAACCCCTAGTTCTTATTATTTGATTAT